AACCGGATAATCGAACACACATACTGTATGTAAGCATGGCATATGCTGTACATTTGTAACCAACTATTTTCTTCCGGATGGCGAGGGATCCGGATAAACGAGGACCGGATAAGCGAGGTCTGACTGTAACATGCCTACTTTGTAGCGACAACTCTTTGCACCACCAAACCTGAATTCTCCTGTCTGTGTTTGCGCTTTCGTGCTTGCAGGCCAAATTCCCGTCGGTGCGTCACATCGACTTGGAAATCCTCTAGACACCCGAATGTATGTTATAATACTGTACGCTCCCAAGCCACCCCCCCCCCCCATTTCTAGATGATTTATGACGACCTGTGCGTCCTGAATGGGCTTCTTTGAAGCCTGTATACTTTGCGACGACGCTTTCTATTCACACGCGTGGATTGTATATTAGCCATTTTTTCATGATTTCTTTTACTCCCCCTGTGCTGGTGTTTCGCAACTATTAATTTTCTTTTGTCCTATCGGGGAGTTAGCCCACCATCACCAACAATAATGATGTCATGTCGTGTCATGTCGTGTCTGTCTGTCTGTAACCTACCGTAATTGTATAACTTGTATGCGTTGTGTGTAACGTTACTTCAACGAACAAAAAATGTAGATTTCCATGGCTGTGCTTGTACCGGTGGTGGGACTGTGTAGAATTACTAGAAGTTGAACATATTTTTTTTTTACAGCCCTTCTATTCCTGTGCCCCGGCCCGTTCAAGGCCAACAAGTTCTAGTATTGGAAATGGGAAATGAGATGTGCTTTTCAAGGCCAACCCGGAAATAGCAGTGACGATGAATAAGATGGTATGGTTGGCAGGTCTACAATCTATCAATTTGGTAGAATTCCCGGCAGCACCCCGCCGCGGGGGGGGGGGGGGGGGAGGGAGTGTGCGGTTACTGATCACTGGCATGAAAGCTGATGTACGCTTCTTGCGCTGCAAACTGATTTTGACGGCAATGCCTACTGGTGCGAGGTTGCATGCTCTCTGATGCTGCGCGTGAAAATTAGTCACTAGCCACAATCGCAACCTTTAGTGCAATCATACCGGTATACCTGGTATACGGTTTAGAGAAAGCAGACCACTCTTAGGCTGCATTCGATTGTAGAAACTGGATCCCGATCCCCGCCGACCAGATCACTTCGATCGGACGGATACAATCGAATGTGCACAACCGATAATCCGTTTCAAGGCCTTAGCAACCGCGTTGCTACAGCTCATCCCGTAGTACCTGTACGCGTTGTGGTAAACTCTTGACCTAGTGTACGCATATTGCGAGTTTTGAGTAGATACGAGTCGTACTATCGAAATGAATCCGTCTCTGGGAGGTGGGTTGACTGGATCCGAATCCGTGCTCTCGGGATCCGGATTCGTACAATCGAACATGCACAAATTTGGCGAATCCGGGTCCGGGGCTGATGGATCCGTACAATCAAACAGGCCCTTATCAAACTCAGTTCGATATTGTTGCAGAGGGACTGGGGAAGAGTATGGTGCTCTGAAACCTTTTCCTATAAATGAAGCTATCATGTACCGTTTGTCATGAATAATAATAATATTGACTGAGAGCGTGTGGCCGGGCTCACTTTATGGGTACATAAAAGTTCTAATTTTCACTTTCAAGTCCCCGGCTCTATTTATTCATACCGGAACCGTGCTGCTGCTGCTTTAATAGCCCCAACTGCCCAAGTCTATAGACTAGCTTAGCAAAGCTTGAAGCAGCACTTGTGTCAGTTTATAGAGAATCACCCACCCTGACTGAGAGTCCAGAATCCAGAACAAACTCAAGCATGGACGTTTGCATATGCAATACCCGGTACACAAGAAAAATATCAACACTGCATGATTGTTAGGGGTCATCCGTGAATACTGATATTTATTTAGAAACTAAAACTAGTCGTTTCTCTTCAACCCCCCTCCCCCCTCCCTCAGAAACGAACACATACTAACGATGCATCGTATCGATATTTTTGTCTTTTCTTTTCTGGACGTGCCCACACATACAAACTGTGCATCGATATTTTTCGAGAAACGAACAGGCGCTCAACCCCCTCCCCCTAAACGACTAGTTTTCGTTTCTAAATAAATATCTATATTTACGGATGGCCCCTTACGAAAATATTCAGAAACGACACAACTTTCTTGTGCTTCAGATTTCAGACTAGAGGATACAAGATGAAGCAAAACTGCAAGACAGCAGAAAAGAAGTTAAACTACAAAGGCAATGAGCCACGGCATGTACAATGCCGGCCAAAAAATTCAAAACGAGAATTCTCGTAAGTATGTTGAAGTGGAATCACCAGTACAGAAGGAAGAAGAGAATGCAAGGGTGGATTGGACTGAAGACCTTCCTACCCCTATTTGAAACAGTTCCAAGTAGGAAATTGCTATTTATTTCCGTTGGTAAAAATCCTAATATCTAACACTACACAAAACCTACATGTAAAGGCGCATAAAAAATAATGCTGCTGCTGCTGCTGCTAAAATCCTTGTGTAGCTTAGCAAGGATAAGAATTCTCCAAGATGGACAAGATCGAACTCAGCAACGACGTCACAATCAACAGCTCTAGGTCAAAGTGATCGGGTGGCAGAAACACCCACCTACAGTAGAACTGCATCCAGAATTAACAATCAGAATTATTCTTTGTCAATGGGTGCAAACCGAGAGGCAAGGGTGCCCGGTGATCCGAGTGTATCGTGATGATCATTATTTTGATAAGACCTTCAGACTAGCGCTACTCTGTAGAATGACCAATGCACACTCTACCATGTAAAGCATGTTGCAGAGACGACAACAAGATCGACGCAGCTAGCTGTCTGGAGATTGAGTATATAAAATTTATAAATAAATAAAATAAATAGCATCATATCACTGAATTGGCGGTTAGACACGACCCAGTGGCCGATAAAGCCTTGACTTACAGGGTGACGTCGGTTCCTGGACAGCGGAACAGTTAGAGCCGGATTCCTCGCGCTTCGCTCTGCTCGGCGTCGCGAATGGCCGCCTCTTGCTCTTGCTCTTGCTGAGCAGTGGTGGCAGCACGCCTGCCCAGGACATTGTAGGCCACGACGGCGGGCACCATCAGCAGCAGGCCGATGAGCGTGTAGGTGGAGGCGCCGGCGTGGTAGACTGGGTGCCACGAGACGTGCGCCGTCCGGTCCATCTTGAACAGGTACCAGAAGATGGCACCAAGCGGCGTGATCAGCCCTTGCACTACCACCAGGTAGACAGCGCCGGCCGCGTACTTAATCAGCATCAGGCTGAACAGGTTGGCCAGGCAGTAGAACGTCACAAACATCCAGCAGTAGCTGACCGGCACCGAGCAGCTCGGGTCCGGGTTGAACTGCGTCGGGTCGTTCAGCGTCGACGCACAGCTCGCGCTCACGTTCGCAAAATACTCGCTGGGGCCTCGCGGGTTGCCGAACATGCAGCGCATGCCGTCGCTCATGTGCGCCTTGAAGTCGTGGAAGCCACTGACGGTGCCGAAGACCGGGATGAAGTCGACCCAGAAGAGCACCACGTACAGGACGAACGTCCAAAAGTTGATCCAGAACATCAGCAGCAGCGCGTTGACGTCGTGTTCCTTTGCCGCCTCGCCGCCGCAAGCCTCCGCTTTCTTTGCCGACTGCTTGAGCAGCTTTTCCTCGACGACGTTGTTGATGGCCAGCGGTACGAAGCCGATCATGAACACGCAGCTCCAGACGAAGCGCGTGATGGCCTTGGTCTTCACCGGCCCACTGCTGCCCTGGCCGTCAATGTTGAAGATGACTGGCTCGGTGGAGATGACGAGGCCGATGATGACGATCAGGCAGCAGATCAGACGCGGCGCGCTCTCCTTCTTGCGCAGGATCACGTAGCTGAAGAACACGGTGAACGGTATGATAATCGTCGACAGCAGCGGCTGCAGGAACACCGGTGTGCGATCGTCCGGGCTGCTGAACACCAGCAGAAGGCCGTTGAGGACGTTGAAGCTGCCGAGCAGCACCCTGTTGGAGTGGCTAACGTTGGAACGAAGCGAGAACTCCGGGTTCAGGAAGCGCGCCAGCAGAAGGAGAGCGCCGAAGAAGACGATGAACCAGAACGCCGAGAACAGCAGCAGGAAGTAGACGTCGCCGACGGGCTTCAGCTCGCCGCAGATCATGTGTGAGCCCAGTGCGCTGGAGAACATAGGCAAGGTGACCGTCATGCCGACCTGGATGTACAGACAGACACACAGGTAGAGAACAGCACAACGGCCCGGGTCAATTGCGCGCAAATAATCCTGATAATTATGTTCGGGAAATCCCCTTCAACAGCTGTGCCTTGCCCGGCTATCTGTAGTGCATGTGCCTAGAAAAGATAATGGTAACCAATCTGAATGGTCGTAGTAAATGGTGACAAGTATAGACTGTTAGGCTTAGTTTTAGCCCAGAATTGCCCATAAATGGTCACTCTGCGAGAGTGACCGCCTGGGATTTCAGACCACTTGGCCAAGTCCGCTGTTCCGCTCCTCAGCCTCCCGAGCCCTGTGAAATCTATGTACAGGATGCCTGCTGTGCACTGTGCTGTGTGTGCCCGCTGCTTTCGGCCGGGACTGCGCAAGGCCTCGGTCGTCACCGGTGCTCGAGGACTGGCCCCCGCCCGACTGCCCAGCAGCGTAATTCGTTCACTCATGTATGCGTGTGTTCTCGCCGGTTCCGTTTGCTCCACCATCTCCGGCGTCATCAGGATGCGTGCTCCATCTTCCTATCTGATGCCCCTCCGGGGCCCACGTGACCCCTGTGGCAGTGGCTCTACAGGACAGGTGTGTGTGTGTGTGTGTGTGTGTGTGTGTGTGTGATGTTAGGCTGTCCCCGGGGAAAATTGCGATTCCGCGGCCGCGTTTTTGTCTGCGTTTTTTTGCGATTTTTTAAAAGACCGCGTTTTCCGCGATTTTCCCCGCGTTTTTTGAACTTTTTTGTTGCACTACACGTACACACAGTGCACTGTTCGGTCAGCAACGTCTCATCGTGGCGGCTTTTTACTCAAATATGACGAGTGCTTACACCAGAGACTTGTAACTGATTGATTTCACTACATACTCACTGAAAATTGCCGCATTCACCGCATATTTACCGCAAATTCACCGCAAATTATGCCATATTATGCCGCGTGTTTTGCGATTTTTTCGGCAATTTTCCCCGGGGACAGGTTAGGGCCATGTGGCCCCTCTCTTTCTCTCCCCCCCCCCCCCCCCCCCGCGACATTATTTTTTCATGAGGCCGGATTTTTCTGGCCAGGACTGTACCTAGGTACATGTATGTACATGCACCTACACTACAAGGCTACCTACAATTACACTGTACCTACCTACACGTGCATAGTAGTGTAGCTACCTGCATGACTGCACATGTGCCTACCTGTGCTAATACGGTGAGTACTGACAGGGCAATGTTCACTGCAACAGCACTCAGCCGGATACTGACACCAAGCCTGGGTGAGATCTGAAACACTACCTGGCCCGCGTCGGACCCAGAAGAACGACTCGTACTGCCGCCCTCCTCGGGCCCGTGGATATAGTCCGGCAGGCTCACATCAGAATCTGCTTGCCGAGTGAGCAGAGGCTGCTTCGCCGAGGAGTTCAAATTCTCAGAGTTCTGAATGTTGCTCATCTTGCAGCTCGCCCACGACCCGGCTAGCAAATAGTAGACAGACGTCAACTTGTTCGTCCGGTGTCTTCCAGCTGTGGGGAGGGGCAGAACTGCTTTGGCTTGGACGAACGCCTCTCTGACGGCCAAAGTTCTCCGATCCTGTCTCTCTTGGCAGTCGAAGTACCAAATCAAAATTTTCACTTTCAAAACTCAAAATATGGAGCTCTGCACATGTGCACACCGCACCCGTGCACGATGATCGAAATCACGTGGTACACGTGCGTACATCATGAGCTGTACACATAATAATTATTATGGACATTTGCGTGGTGCCAGAAAACCTATGCAGACTGAAACAAAAGAAGGAAAAAAAAGAAGAAAAAAAGAAGGATCAATGAGAACGCGAACAACAAGATGTCCGTCACTCGGCGTCAGGGCTCACCACGACCAGGGAGTCGTCAAATACTTGTATTTGACGACTCCCTGACCACGACCATACAAAGCGTCAATAACGGTCATTTGGATTTGACCAATCAGCGCACGGCAAAACGGGCTGTTTCCTGGGGTGTTTTCTGAGTGGAGCTTGGCGTTGGTTTTAGACATTAGGCCATTGTGGATTCGTGTTCAGAAGGTGTGTCTTTGGAGGGTTACCGTCTCGAATTTTTCGATTTGGCCTTCGTTTGGCTGAGATCGGATGGTGAAATCACTCAAACGCGAAGGCGTGCGAACAAGTGAATGAAGAGAAAATTAAAAATCGGGGACGGTAAACCGATAGAGAATTCCAAGACCTTGAAAATGAGCTATCGATGGTGAGAATAGGCCAAGGAGAACCGCTGTTCTACTTTTTTGAAGGCATCAAGGTCGGCCGTGCGTCGCCGCGCGCACCAACAAAAACTGGCAGCCGTGCACATATCTGCAAGTGCAACAAGAAAGGACGGAGGAGACAGCAAGCGTTCCAAGTGAAGAGTTTACCTTCGTGTTGACTCAAGCTAAGGACTCATGCCAGTCAGGGATCATACCAGTCACCTCTCATCATGGTCATGACTAAGGGATTCATTCGTGGCCAGGAAACTCCCCACTCGCGGCAGCGTGAAAGCTGCGAGGCCAAACAGAAAAGAGTGTGCCGAGTCGCGATCAGGAAACGCTGAGTTCTACTGACAACATTGGTTAGCTAGCTAGGCGCGGCAAATTCTTGTAGATGCCAGGACTCAAGTTCACCAGTACCTCACGGACATAATCTTGGTCGACACCCACCAGCGGATTGAGAAAAATGACCAAGATGGCTTGGAGAAAGGACGTCTTCTCCGCGTGTCTTTCCCGACATCAAACAACAAGATTCCGCGGCTTCGGCACTGGCCCTTCGCTGTACAGAGTAGACCAGGGAGTCGTAAAATACCGGTATTTTACGACTAGACTGTACATCGCTGTACATCGATGAGCATGAACTCGGGTGCGTAGCCGCTATGACTGCACAAACTCTGGCATTGGCGGCATCGCCATGTTTTCAAAATGGTGGTCGACGCTTTTTGAATTTTGTATGGTCGTGGTGAGCCCTGACCGTTGAAGAGCACAAAGGACGTCTCTTGAGAACTGAAGTCTGAAGTACAGCGTGTTTACATGTACATGTAGTTGACTCGGAATGAGGAGGCAGCTCGACCAACACCGCCGCGGTTGCTGAGAAAACCACAGGGACGAAGGTACTGCCCTCGACCCCCTCAGTGCCCTTGATCCGCTGCTCATGATACCGCCTTCGTTCTCAGGGCCCCGTTCGTTAGACGAGGTGAGACGTGATGCACTGATTAGGGTTCTCTGTAACAAGACGACAGTTGGTTAAAACACACCTTGGGAAATGGCGGTAAATACACGCCCGCCCACACAAGGAGAAGGAAGAAGGAGGGCTCTTACCTCCTCGGTTCCCCAAACGTTTAAATGTACAATGTACTTAGTCTTTGAGATTCTCTGTGACTTGTGTGTCCTTGGTTGGTTGGTATATTCTATTTTACTTCTCCAGAATGAATAGGCATTGCTGCCTTCTTGCCTGGACAAGTGGATTGTCCAAGTTCTCACAAAAAGACGAAGAAAGGAAAGAAATATTACATGAGAGTGTGAAGCAGGCAATCTTATACTATATGTACCATCATCCTTCAATGCGACGGACCCCACGATAGGCGGTCAGCCTTTGGGTCATCCTAATAAAGTTATTATTATTATTATTATTATTATTATTCCCTCAAAACCAGTTAATATTATTATTATTATTATTATATAGAAATATTACATGAGAGTGTGACGCATGCATGATGAGAGAGAGAAGGGGGGGGGAGGGGGGGGGGCGAGAGAGAAAAAAGAGAGAGGAGATAGAGAGACTGCTTTATTGCCTGGAAAAATGAATTGTCCAAGCTCTCACAAAATGACCAACAGCAGCGGTAACAACAACAGCAACAGCAACAACAACAACAACAACAACAACAACAACAACAACAACAACAACAACAACAACAACAACAACCATCTCTTATTGGCCACTGGCTATAGTGAGAATAAAGATTTGAAACAACAACAACAGCAGCAGCAGCAGCAACAACAACAACAACAACAACAACAACAACAACAACAACAACAACAACAACAACAACAACAACAACAACAACGAGAGAGGGAGAGAGAGAGAGAGAGAGAGAGAGAGAGAGAGAGAGAGAGAGAGAGAGAGAGAGAGAGAGAGAGAGAGAGAGAGAGAGAGAGAGAGAGAGAGAGAGAGAGAGAGAGAGAGAGAGAGAGAGAGAGAGAGGGGGGGGGGGGAGAGAGAGAGAGAGAGAGAGAGAGAAAGCATTTTTATCTCCAAGAAAGTTGTTCAAATGAATCAAAAAGGAGAAGGATAAAATGTTTCGAGTTATGACTAACTGTCCACCAACGTAACCAGATCATATCCAGTCGACTAGTCCGCTTTTGTCCTTCTCCTTTTTACCATAATTAAATTGGCTCACCATCCGAGTTCAAATGACTCAATGCTTTGTTTAATGAAAATACGAGGAATCACATCGTACTTTGAGAGTTGTGGCCGGACTCAAGAGCTACCTTCTTATAAAGCCGAAGCCACTACATCATAGCTCGGAGTGACCGTGTTACCAGAAGTGACAACGTGGTGAATGGTCAACGACCTTCGGCACCCATGATGTCCCATCCCCTGATTCGGCTTCAGGCTGATTTCTTCGTTCGCATGCCGATAATTATGTTCGGAGCTATAAGTAGTCTCCGGCGTCACTTTCTCTTCAAAGATGGGAAGGCAAGGCTTGAACGGCATAGGCTTTCTTCGGCAACTACATGTAATTACTTGCAGATTCTGGGTCGACGTCTGAGTAGACCGATCTACCAGTGCTCACAGTGGTTCAAGTGGCGGCTAGCTGTCTGTATGCTGTGCATTATCGTCCGGAGAACATAGGTCCAAAGCTGAGCACGTGGCCTGGCCGTGGCTGTACAATCATGTACATGACTGTATCCTCATAATTAGCCTTGTAAGTTGTACATCTACATCGTACATGTACTTGAAAAAAGGAGGAGCGGAGTGGTGTACACGTGGTGATGCTGTGCTACTGCTAGGACTACATGTATGTAGGATCCTAGGAGTAGGATGCCATGCTTGACAGCCGGTCAGTGAGGCACTGCACTGTGGTGGTTGTCAAATAAAAGGACCTGTCACCCGACGGCATCAGCTCTCTTGGAAAATAGGAGGAGCAGGAACAGCGAAGCGCACGTGACTGTCTGTGCTGCTCCGTGAAATCCGATAGCGCGAATCAAGTAAGCTTATTTTGCGCTTTGTGCCATGCCAGTTCACGTCCCAGTGTTCGCAGGTGTAGGGCCGCGAAGCGCGTGATTCGGTCGTTGGATTGGATTTCACTGAGCTGTGTGCCGTAGTCTACATGATGTATGTCGCACAATGAATCGACTTGTCTCTCCCAGCCTGACTCAGTGTCCAAACCCCAAACTCGCCAAAGCATCAGTGCGCAAGGCAGCAAATGAATCGACGTTGTCTTTGGCAGTGCGAACAACCGCTCGTGGTATTTACGTTCTAGCACCTGGCTGTACTTGCACTTTGCAGTGGATGCGCCGCCCTACTTTGCTGTGAGCTGAAAGAAAGGTGAACGGCGGCACATCATCCTTTCACTCCGAAGAGGGATTCACGCTTGACGCGATCGTCAGAGAGCAATTGAAGGGCATTCGAACGGAGACGGCGACCAGAGTTTTGTTGAAGCTGGGCTCACTCCGCGGTGACAGAGAATCAGGTCGCTAGCAAGGTCGATAATAAACAAGCCGCGGCAGCCATGGAAGGGAAGAAGGGCTGCTTTGCTGTTGTGCTGTTACTGTGCGTGTGTGTCGTGCTAAGCGCCTGGATATTCACGGACAGTGTGCCCAATGTACACAAGGCGCTGCGCGCCCGCTCCGCCGGCTTTGTGGCGCGCCTGGTGAGCAGCTGGCGGACGGGAGTCCGCACTGGGGCGCTGGATGTGGCCGATGACCTCCTGGTGGCGGTGCACCATGCGTGGCCGGCGGACGCAGGTCACGATACGACCTGGTCTTGGCCAGTCGTCATAAGCCAGCTCTCCACGTGCGGCCCTCAGAAGGCTGGTGCCACTAGCACTCCGGACAATGCAACTCTAGCAAAGTCAGCTGCTCTGCTGCGGCAGGTATTAAACATTTCCGCGAGCTCCTGTCGAAGGAACAGCACGGTTACTGTTATGGGAATGAGGCTCAAAGTGTTCGTGGTGCTTCGCTGGGCTCGACTCTGGAACTCGCAGAGGGTCATCAACCCAGTGCCCACGCCATTCCACTACTGCAGACAATGCCGCACTGTTCTGTTCTACACCAGCGACCGCGACATGCTAGCCTGCGCCGACATTGTGGAGTTCCACGACACGGACACGCAGCTGCGCGACCTGCCGCCGAGGGGCTTTCCCCAGCAGCTGTTCATGGTGATGTCGTGGGAGAGTCCCATCCGCGGGCACTCGCACCTGACTGACGACGGCCTGATGGGCCAGTACAACCTGTTGAGAACGTATCGCCGTGACAGCGACCTGTTCTTCAGCTACTTTCCGTCGTGCATCATGCGCTGGATGCGGCGGCCGGTGAAGCCGTTCGCCGAGCGCGAGCCCAACGCCATCATGTTCATCACCAGCAACTGCAACGCGGAGAACATGCGACAGGACTACGTGCGCGACCTGATGACGCACGCCGATGTCCATAGCTACGGCCGTTGCCTGCACAACCGTGAACTGCCCGACAACGACGACGGCGCCATGGTGGCACGGTACAAGTTCTACATCGCCATTGAGAACAGCATCTGCCTGGACTACGTCACGGAGAAGCTGGTGCGCGGCTGGAGACACGGCGTGATACCGATCGTAACCGGGTACGAGGACAAGCCGGATTTCCGGCACTTTGCGCCCAACTCTCACTCGCTGCTCAATGTCAACACGTTCCGTTCGACGGCAAAGCTTGCTGAGCGCGTGAAGGAAATTGCTGCCGACGAAAACCTGTTCAACTCGTTCCTGTCGTATCGCACCGACCCCGGGCAGATATCCGATGACTTCAAGCGAATGTTTGCACCTCCCGACGATAGTGATCCGGAGGGATGGTGCAAGCTGGTGCAGAGGATGCAGAAGCCGGGTAATCTTGCTAACATGACGAAACGAGTCCTGACCGGCGACCACTCATGCGTGCCAAAAGGAACCATAGCGAGTGCAGTGAAAGAAGAGACAGCTTCCACAGGATCACGACCATAAAATTATGCTGTATGGCTGTGATGGTGGTTGCTATGATGGTTGCTATGGTGGTTGCTATGGTTGTTGCTACGGTGATTGCTATGGAGGTTGCTATGGTGGTTGCTACACATGTATAGCGGCAGCTGTCAAGGTGATCCATCCTCACCTGTCCCTGCAGACGGCCACTGCAGCCGGGAACAATGAAAGGGTCATATCCGTTCACGTGGATCTGAGTACGTGACCGCATGTGTGTGTGTGTGCGCGCGCATGCACGCGTGTGTGTGTGTGTGCATGTGTGTGCGGTTTTCGGAGTCCTTTTAGTGGTTTGACACGACGTGTTTCACTGGCGACATACTTCACTGTATCACGTGCCAACATTCCCGCCGAAGAAAGTTTGACCCAGTGACGTCGTTGTTCATGCTCACAGCTCACTTATCATGACCATACTCTGGTGAGAACTGCTGGCTAAAGAGCTGACGGATCCCTAGCGGTTAGATCAAGGTGTAGGCCATCTCAGTTCGGGTGACTCTAACAGAGCCACAGCTGGAAGCTCCTTAGAGCCGATGCGACACACAATATTTGCGAACCGAAGAGCATGCAGTGAAAGCTCTGCGATGGACCTCGCCAGGTACACAGTATTACTGCCAGTCTGGTACATGCATCTGGACGCAGAGACTGAAGGGAAGAAAATCCGGAACCTGAATGTCTCCTTGGTTGACATCTGAGAGAGAGAGAGAGTGAGGGTCTAAGCTAGCGACACTCGGCACGTTACCATAGCTAACTGAGAAATGCGCCGTGGCACGCTCAACTAGTATTTATGTAAACGGCGAGGAGACAATAATTTGATAACCGAAATCAATAAGACAAGCTGAATCGACATTTGTGTATTCTTTATTCATGCAATGTAAAACGGTGGGGACAATATTACAGGTACACTATTATCGTGTAGTTCTGGATACTTTCTGTTTAGCGTGTGAAGAGACTGAAGAGTCACTATTTTAATATTTATTTACTTACAAGTACCATTTTCTTACTGTACCTGCAGCTTGTCTGCAACAAAGCCATTCAATTATTTATTTCCAACCATACGCAAGTCTGCAATAGTTCGAGGCAATCCTTTGCATTTTAACTCTGAGTTTCCGCGTCGTGTCATGCAAGGTCCGAAGCTGGCGGACCATTCTGGGCGTCATGTGACGCCTTTAGAAGCATGTACGCATACAGTGCTGGCAACTGAAATCCGACCCCCTGAGCGGTGGGTTCACATTCTTTGCGATGTGAGCGCACCGCTCAGGGGGTCGGATTTCAGTTGCCAGCTCTGTACATGTATGCGAACAATGATGCTTCTAGCCAACATGATGACGTATCCTCATGTGTTCGTTTTAAAAGGTTTAATATGCGATTATGTTTTCATAAAAAATCAGTTTGAGGTGCTACATCATGTATGTATACTGTAGAGTTGCATCACAACGGATTGAGTGAAAGCCTGACTGAGCGGGTACTAGTATGTGTGGACACGTTGCTGCTACATTAGATGTACAATATACTATGTCACTGCCAGTATTCGGATTGGTGGCTATTGTCAAAATTAATCATTTTCGCACAGTCTCGAGGTGAGTCGGCCCTCGAGGCCTCCCTGTCGAGAATCCGTGCCTGATACGATAATGGTCCAAGGCTGGAAGTCAGAATAACAGATGATGATGTCTGCGACTCTCGGTGCTGTTTGTTTGTATTGGTTACAACATAATAATAATCTTTATTTCAGGATTACCCAAAGGCTAACGCCTATCTGGGGGATCTCCTATTTGTGTATGTACAGAGAGCCTTCACGACCACACTTCTCGATGATGTCCCTGAAACCTTGGGTACTACTACTAGTACAGGAACACTCGGGTGCCTAACCCAGTGTCGAATCATTCTTCATTCAGATTTGCTTCTACATGTATTTGCCTCGCCCTGTGTAGGTTATTACTGCCTCTTGTAATTATTTGCGTAGTCTTGTGTAGTCCTGGTCTACAGTGTACGAGTAGTCATGCGAGGCCTCGTCATGCACCATGTATACATGTACTTGCAAACGGATTGCAGTGTGGGGTCCAGACTGATGTACGGATGCAATCCTTGTACAATGGCGGACATGGCTGGTGGTGGGGAGAGGGGGACCGGGTGATGGATGCTTGGCCATTGAGGACAGGTAACCATTGCCGATTCCTCGTAGATTGACTTTAAAGTCTTATAAGTAAGTTTTAAAGGGGAAGTTAAGGCAAAAATTAAAATTTCACCAGTTGTAGTCTTCGGGGTGCTGAGTCGAATGGTCGTGGTCCGAGGAAGCTGAGACGCTCCCTTCCTACTTGAATCCCAATCGAACTCGCGCACTTCCACCGAAACTGGGTGACTGCGCCCTACGAGATGGGGATTTGTATGCAAAATGTCACTAAAAGCGCCATTTCGTTCTTATAAAAGCACGGATGACCGCGATTGGCCCATATGTTGTAGTCTTTTGGACGCTGAGTCGACTGGTTTTGGTCCGAAAAGGCTGCGATGCAGCGTTCCGCCTTTATTCCCAATCGAACATGGTTGAACAAGCGGTCACGTGCTCCTGCGTACGCCAGTCACCTGGTCACCGTGCCTGCAGGGTACAAATTACTAGCCTGTTTGACCTTTTTTGGGTGCAGTCCTGTCACTCGAGTTGAACTCGAGTTGAACCTTGGTGTGAAAGTTGTCACCTGCTGGCGTGGTGACCAGGTGATTTGGGCACCCAGGAGCACGTGACCACTTGTTCAACCATGTTCGATTGGGAATTAGGGGCGAACGCTGCATCGCAGCCTTTTCGGACCAAAACCAGTCGACTCAGCGTCCAAAAGACTACAACATATGGGCCAATCGCGGTCATCCGTGCTTTTATAAGAACGAAATGGCGCTTTTAGTGACATTTTGCATACAAATCCCCATCTCGTAGGGCGCAGTCACCCAGTTTCGGTGGAAGTGCGCGAGTTCGATTGGGATTCAAGTAGGAAGGGAGCGTCTCAGCTTCCTCGGACCACGACCATTCGACTCAGCACCCCGAAGACTACAACTGGTGAAATTTTAATTTTTGCCTTAACTTCCCCTTTAAAGATAAGAGTTGTTTGATGCGTGGGCAGATCAGCACAGTCATGGTTTGCGTGGGTTGGCTGTGAGTGTGAGCCAGCATCATCAAGTACTGTGTACAATCATGTTAGTATGGATCAGGCCAGGGTTGGCTGTGAGCCAGCATCATCATAACCAGGGCCAGGGCACTGGGTTGACTGCCCAAGCCGAAGGTCGAGAGGCTCACTTGAGATTAGTACTACATGTAGTATTAGTCGTGGATGCGTCAACTCAATTGTTTGTTGTACTATTTAGTCTCTTAGTCTGTTAGACATGTGCCATGATAGTGGTGCCTAGAAGTCTCCTTTGTAGTGTCTCAGTGAAGAGAAAATACATGACAGGGCCTACACCTGCGCTGCATGCGCTCGTATGTCTTATCTATTACTATTAGTATTACGCCTTGGCTTTTCAAAGTGATGCAAGCCACTCTAGCTAGAATATGTATCTGTCAGTTAATAAGTACTGGTACTGTGGTACAACATTCCACGTAGCCAGTTGAAGTGAATTCAGGCTGCTAGTACATGTACCTTCTTCACTATCTGCCTGGACATCCCAAGTAACACAATGAACGGAAGCCTCTTTCTTTACCGGTAGAGTACCTTGTACGTGTTGGTCACCCGGCATACATGTACAGCACTATAGCATTTACATGTGCATTGTACTTCAGGTACATGTACATGACATTATGTGTATGTGTGTATGTAGATGTATGTATGTATGTATAATAACACAATCCCTTGGCCTGTTGTTGGCTATGCCACTCTGCTCACGCCTGCCCGTCACCCCAAAACCCCCTAGCAATCTCACTGGCCCATTGCCCGCCATACTCCTGGCACCTCCTCCCATCTGCTGTGCACTGCCTCCCCATCCCCTCTTTCCGCGCTTTCATGCTCACACGGTCACGCCTGCCTGTTGCCCGCCACCCTCCTGGCACTTCTACTGTCGCGCCTTGGCCCGCGCCAGCTTTCTCCTCATTCCTTACACCAGATTTAGCGCTAAATTTGTTTATGCCTGTGGCCCTATGTGTGTCTAAGCATACTGTTGGGTAGACCCGAGTATCAGTTGTCTGATGATTGCCTAACGGCATGAAACTCAGAGTTACAACCAACCTGAACGTCCTCCGCTGAGTCTGCTATGTACTAAGCTCTGTCTCTGACATTGACCACTCTCTGCAGCTCGGGGATCAACGGATTTATGTATGTATATATAATATATACAAAGAGAAAGACCAAGGAACTACAAGTAAGCTATACCGTCCACTAACACCACCAGTTACTAAACAATCAGCTCATGCGATAACATTGCACGACACTGACCGACAGTACTGACGTTCTACAACTAACTGGCTAACAGCTCTAGCACATCTTGGATGCGCACTCCAACAGCCTTCCAACTTGGAAGGTTCTAAGTTATAGAAATAACATAAGGAGGGGAAGGTGAACGCAACCAAGATAAGCACGAGCTGAAAGTCTCAACTGTGAAGGATGTTGGCGGATGTTCATGCATGCCGATGACGATACTGGCAAGACCATTGGACAATACGGTCAAACCACGATTCAGGAACGCATCTGAGTCCATTCCTGCACACCTGATGAGCCGTATGTATATATATTTTTATTTAAATCCGCAAGTACACTCGGCCCGTGTCACGGGCTACAAGCCTAATTAAATGGAGGCGAATGTGATAATGGGGTTAATTAAGAAAAAGGGCGGAGGAAGGAGGAGGACGGCAGCAAAGCAACATGGAGGACAATTCAGGAGCAAAATTAACAATTGCACAAATATTAGAGTACCTGAGATCGAGGGTACCTGTGGAGCGATAAAATGCTAACAGCAAACAGAAGAAGGGACATCATAAGCCAACACGCCCTAAACTGCGCTTGAGTTATAATGAAGGGGGAAAACCTGAGCTCAAGAAAATTATAACATTAAAAGTCGTAATAAGAATTTACTTCGAAGTAGCTGGATGAAGAGTAGCACAAGCAAACATTTCCTGACAACGAGAAGGGACTGTAACTACAGCCACCGCAGAAGCTCTCTCTTTCTTCTCTCTCTCTCTCTCTCTCTCTCTCTCTCTCTCTCTCTCTCTCTCTCTCTCTCTCTCTCTCTCTCTCTCTCTCTCTCTCTCTCTCTCTCTCTCTCTCTCTCTCTCTCTCTCTCTCTCTCTCTCTCTCTCTCTCTCTCTCTCTCTCTCTCTCTCTCTCTCTCTCTCTCTCTCTCTCTCTCTCTCTCTCTCTCTCTCTCTCTCTCTCTCTCTCTCTCTCTCTCTCTCTCTCTCTCTCTCTCTCTCTCTCTCCCTCCCTCCCTCCCTCCCTATCTCGCTCTCTCAAGGTGGAGGACACTGTGGTCGGAAACAGTGACCTTACTACAAGTACAACCTTCCGCGGTTGGCAGAGCCCCTGTCCCCGTGGACCGTTTGAACCATACGGGTGTTGAACCCGGTTCTGACTCTCATTATGCTAGGGGGGGGGGGGGGGGGGGTTGGAGACTACTCCTTACGTCCGTCGTGCATTCTTTGATCGGTCCTGGATGTGTCCTCCATCTTGTGTCATGCTGTCAATCTAACAATGTACAGTCATGTACATGTACATTCAAAAAAGGTAACGGCACATAGCCGTAAGCCAGCCTTGTCTTCAGGTCCACGTTACCTGGCCGACCATGGATATTGCCTTATCGGTTACGGTGGAAAAAGAAAAACAAGACAAGGAAAGGTGGACTGTAGTGAGTTCTGGGTATGGTTCATGCTACCTCCCTTGTCAAAATCCAGAAGATGAGGTTGATTTTTTAGTGATGTTGACGGAGGACATGTCGACACTACCTACTATTACTACATTAGTACAATCTACTACACACCCTACAGACAGTGTAATGTTATATCTCATGTACATGTACATGTATGTCCTGAGCCTGGCCACCATTCTACAGATCGCAGAGTCTTCTCTCTCGCGAGAGGTGAGGGTCAACCCTTTACCTGCCCAGTTTTCTGGCCTGATCGACATCAGTGATCATGGTTCTAATGATGTGATGATGCTGTACAGTCACTGAGTCAGCGCAGGGTGCGGTGTAGATAAAACGCAACTCACAGCACAAGTACTAATAATATTATTAGGTTCAACTCATGCTCAGGCGCTATGCTAGGCTAGGCCAGGGTACGGTTGCGAGGCCAACAACTCATCTGCCCACGCACACCAACTAACGAGATGGTCCTTCAAACGAACGACTGCCCGTACCCCCGTGCGTGCAAAGGGACGCACTCGATCTGAGATCAGGTCGGGCAGTGGGCACCCACGCTACATCAGGTCATGACGTAACAGCCAGCACATCAAGAATCACGCTAGCGCTGCAAAGACCCTCGTAGTCGTATCGCGTAGTACAGCTAGCTCTACACGAGTTTGCTGTGGCGATCGAGCGGAGATCAAAAACAAAAGCAGACATATTTCCACACCCGCACCCGCTCCGTCGACTTCAGTTCAGACCTGAGGCTTTAGTGAAAAAAGACGCTAGGACTCGCTGAGTAGGATTTGTGGCGTGTCGTCTCGCCTGTGATAAGGTATCGATCGTCGCACTGTCGCCATAATTCGCGCTCGGATATCATAGGAGATGGCGAGATCGGAGCAGACGCTTTTCGTTGTGGTCGGGTTATGCCTGTCCCTGGACCTGGCGCTGATGGGCAGCGCGCAGTCGTCGTCATCATGTGCGGCGCCCGTCTCGCACAACCTGGTTCTGGCGCAGCAAACCTGTTCGTGCCGATCCAGCTCGACCTGCCCGAGAAGCGCCACTGGCCTGCCGGCGCTAAAGAAGGAGTTGTGCCCCGATGCGCTGGCCAATAGCCCCACCCGAGTACAGCTGGAGGGCCATGTCGAATGCACCAGCGACTGCCAGTAAGAATTCAATTTCTGTTTCGCAGCTCTGTCTTTTGGTTTACTTGTGCGGAGTTGGTGGAGGTGGTGGTTCTTGCTTACTAGTATTCGCTATAATTACTTGTCCAGGTTAGCTGGTGGTGTGGCATTTAGTCAAATTCCTTTCCCGAACGCTGGCTAGTCTGTGCATTTCTATTGGTGACTATCCGGCCGCGTGCCGATAGCGAACATGAAATGGTGTCAACATTACGTTCCCGAATGCACGACGATGAGTACGGACACCGGGAATAGAAACCCTCCCGGAAATCGCAGCTCAACACCTCGACACCTGGCTCCTGCAGTCCGCCGCGTAAACATCCTGATTTTTGTCATGTTCGCATGGTGGCCAGGATCGCGAGAGTGTTGCGAAACGTCCCTATCTATGTCAGTTACGACGTGGTCCACGGTCTTGTGGGTGCACCGGTGACACGTCGTGGGGAGAATGGCCGCACGCGCGCGACGTTTCTTGTGTGCAGGTCTTATCTAGCGATAAAGAAAAATACTAGTGATTGTTCATATTGCGTAGGTCTGTAAATAGAAATGGGTGTTTTTTTCGTTTGGTGAATGCGAATGGGTGGTCAACCGTTGCTGGAATGCCTATTCCGGATCAGATGCAAACATGGACTTAAATTAATCTCTGCGTGGGAGTCATGCTTGCTGCGTAACTCTGGCTGTGACCTGCCATGCCAGCCTGCCCTAGACCTGCTAACACTGGGCTGTGGATTGATGCAAGGCGCAAACTAGCCTGAGTGACACAACTGGATTTCATTGAGCAGCATTGTATACGATTCTAATCTAAGAAGAAAAATCTAAGAAGACTGCTAGCTGGTGGGACAGCTTGCCTGTCAACTGGTCACTCCAACACCACTGCCACTGTCTCGTCAGTGCTCAGTTGGCGACATAAAGAGGAGGTTGGCTATGTGTCTTGAATGGGGCTGTCCACAATTATTATTATAATGATCGATCTTTTACACAAAACGAAAAGCGGGGGCGAGGAGAGCTCGAATATTTTGACAAAAAAAACATTGATAGCAGAAAAAATCAATCCGCTCTAGCTGTCCTCCCAGTATATTTTTTGTTCTGGGGGCGGGCGGGCGGGTTGCGGAGTGTCGTAACTTAAGTTTTTTTCGTTCCGTGAAATTATCAATACTGCCAGATGTCCCCTAAACCGGACCGTTGTGCAAAGGGTAAGTGAACATTGCAATGGTATACTCTAGAGAGGAAGCAAGAGGGACCCAGCATAAAATGATAAAATTTAATGATTTCGATTACTGTAAGTCTACGAAATGTTGGCCCATTCAAATATCGGCCTCCCAGTCCCAGGGCTAAAACCCATTTCGGCCGCATCAAATTTTCGGCCTGTACTGCTGTCGCCTGTATACACTGTCACACTGAACCTTGCAAAACAAATTTTCGGCCAAACATGACCGGGCCGAAAATAGCCGAAAATAAATATGCGCTGAATATTTATTGATTTACAATAGATTGGAGCCGTCTGATGACAAGACCGACGTACTGGCAAAGACTGTTCAGTGCGGAGAAAAGCACTTGAACGTTTGCGAGTGCTGATGCGCCTGAGTTTATTACCAAGCCACAAACGGTGCACAGTAAAACCGGCCCTAACCGGACGCCCTTGGTGCAGCGGAAACTGTCCTGATATGACAGGATTCCGCTTGATCCCGGGGGGGTGCACGTTCTATCCACAGCACTTTGGTGCATGAAAATTTGTCTGGTCAATACAGGATTCTGCTTGGTACAGGGTCCGGCAAACACAGGTTTTAGTGTGTATACTGATTTATTGTGTATGTGCACATTGCAACAGTGCACTCTGCTCTGCCCCCCCCCCCCCCCCCCTCCATGGCATGGGAGCACTCTTAGCACACCGAGAGCGTGCTTTGTAAATGAGTTCAGTTTACCCCCCCCCCCCCCCCCCCCCCCCCACAATGTGCTGTCCCTCCAAAGTTAGTTCTATGCTGATCACCTGGGCAGGAGGAGCCATGCCAAATATGGTAATAGTTGTAAGAAAACTAATCAGGGTACTAAACTGATGAATGTTACTAATTACTTGCAACTTGCAAGCTATGATGTCGCCAATTTGCTTGTATCAAAGCCATTGATACGCCACAGGCTGTTCAATGATGCCAAATACACTGTAGTGATGTATGGTGTAGATCAGTGTGATGATAAAGTCCTCCAAAGCAGACACAGATGTGAACCAATCTATTGACCTCCAGAGAAAAGAGTGTGAAGTGATGTGTTGGTCTGTGCTGCATAATCAGCATGAATACGCTGTGAGCATTCATTGACAAATAATTCTGATAGACCTCCATTTCATGTATTGGGGCTGATCATTTGGCAAATGCAGTTTTATAGTATTAAATTGGCCACAATGTGGAGGAGTGCTCCATGGTACAAATGATCAGGATTGTGATCCTCAAGTGGATTACAGCACATCATTGCAATGGGGGGGGGGGGGGGGGGGGGGGGATGATGAGTGATGAAAAGAGGCTGTAAAGTGGAACTAGTCACCGCATGCAGCAGTGCTTAAAAGCAGACCCTGATCCGGGTACAAGTGGCTTTGCTTACCAAGGTTTGACAGATACAGAGTAGATTTCCTGTAATGGCATGGGGAGAAGCAGCTCAGCTCAGCTCAGCTCAGTTCAGCTCAGCTCCTGTTTGTAACAGGGTATGATGATGCACAGAAATGTTGTCACTCCGGCTGATACATGCCCATATCCAGTGTCTGCTCCAGCGCCGGGTGAGCCAGGTAATCCACCCGGTTGGGCGGCGCTTGGACCCGGTGGAAAATATAGTACCGGGTCACCTGTGACCCGGTTGGTACTTTACACTTTCGAACTTTGAAAGGACTGACTACATGGCTTGTATGTGTCAGATACTTCTTCTTCTTTCGTAATTTTCTTATTCCTGTCCTCTCTTTTCTAAATGCGGCTTATCCATTCGCCTTTAGATCATTGGGCGTGCATGTGTACCGGGCTCCCACCCGGTTGAAATGGTTGCGCCAGGTACACGTGTACCCGGCTGTCCTACAATCCTGGAGCAGACACTGCATATCATGCATTCTTTAGCTGAATTTTTAACTCAGATAGTCAGCCAACGATACATTTTGAAACACTGCACCGCTACATACCACAATGGCCGTGCATGCTTCTTCTTCCGGTGGCTAACTAAGCCTGGCCACCAACACAGGATCGTCTTAGGTTAAGCCGACTTATTTTGCCTTCTTGGCCGCCTGCTGCCCTCCGCCAATCCACAGCCTTCTCCGGTCGTCGACCGATGGATTGTCGTAAGACAGCACTTGCCCGCTCACAATCTTGGACAAATGGTCTGTCATGTTTGCCGGTTGACTTGTTGTACAGTACTCTCGGTCGCCGAAGAACTTGGGGGGGGGGGGGGGGGGTCAGCCTCGTAGCCTAGATCGTTCTCATTTTCATGGATTACAGTCTATGCACAGTTGAGTCACCGTGTATACATTGGTATGCTGTGCTTGGTGAAATTTTAGGCTGGCCGTTCTTCGGTGCTCCGTTCTTCAGCGCTCCGTTCTACGGCGCTCTGTCCTTCGGTGCTCGACAGTACTGTAGAGCAACTATCTGAATACTATACACCGCCCAATGTTTGCATAACAATTGTTTTGCGATTTCTC